GATCAAGGTTCGGGGTTTGGGTCGTTTAGGGGTTTAAGCACCCAGAGGCTCCATGTACCCATATAGTAGATACTTAGGCCTTAAAGGGGTTCCTAATATAGGTACTTTAGGGTCTAAGTATACACTATATGGGTACATGGAGCCTTTGGGGAAATAAGGGTTGACGGATGTTTAGGGATCCGGGAGTGCTTTGGAGTTTTGGGTTTAGGGAGTGGGGGCTTGGAGCCCGACATCTCCCATAGAAAACCCAAGGCCCCGAAATCCAAACCCTTAAACTCAAAGTCATACTGCGGACCCTGACTAAGGAACCCTCGACCCATGATACGGATTGTAAGTGTTACCGGCTTTAAAAGAGAAAGGGGGGTTCATGTATCACCCGTTTGCAAGCCAAAATCATGAACCTTCCGAACCGGTAACCTTCGGGTCCCGAGCAGTGGAGATGGACACAGCCTGCCACGGTGATTCTCTAATTAGGATAGGGTTCCTTTTGAGGGCTTCGTTGAAACGTGTCTAGAATCGGGGCTACTATACGGGTGTGCAAGATAGGGGGCCTCGCCTCCTCAAAGGATTCGTGCTGGGGACATTGCAGGCACATGGTCTTCTAGTTTGTTCCTGGCGGCTTGGACATGAGTTAAGGCATCACCCGTGGACATGCATTGCATTCTTCAAGGGCTCACGGTCAGGCGTTGTCTGTTTAGTACTTCGGGCTTCTGACACAGGGCGGCGCACAAAGTGGCAGGTTCCCAGAGAACCCAATACCCCTTAAATAAGGAATATGCCTTAAATCAAATCATTGATAACGCCCCTATAATTTATGCTGTGTTCCTTAGTTAAGGGGTATTGGGTTCTCTGGGTTTGTTGCAGCCATCCAGGTTCCATAGGCTTGGCCTCTCCATGCTGGCTGTCAAGCGTGTAGGGTGAAGTCCCTTCCTTGTCGGGCTTCTTCTTCTTCCCAAACCCTACTACGCACCCCCTAACCCTAAACCCTAAACCCTAAACCCTAAACCCCATCCACAAAACCATTTTTAAGACTCCAATGAAATTTTCAGCCGCAACACTCCATGGAAAACAACCCTCAGGCCTGGCACCAGCTTCTAAAGGGTTCTGGGTTGGACTAAACCCCCATGGGCTCCATAGTAGTTCCTTTTTGGGATTACCTTATAGGATCCGAAATATGAACCACAAAAAGGAACTACTTTGGAGCCCATGGGAAGTACCCTAAACCCTAAACCCTAGGCTTAGGCTAGAGGCCCACATACCTCGACCCGGCAGGTTCAGAAGTCTAAGTCCAGGGCTCACAGGGAACTGCACTTTAGGGTTTAGGGCTTAGAGTACTACCCATAGGCTCCAAAGTAGTTCCTTTTTGTGGTTCATATTTCGGATCCTATAAGGTAATCCCAAAAAGGAACTACTATGGAGCCCATGGGTATAGCCCATGTCATCTCATGCCTCGACAAATTCATATGCCGGCTGCTACGGGTTCCGTGGTACTTGCGACGCCCTGGCACCGCTAAGGCCAGTTCGTATTCGCTCAACTCGGCTGCCAAACCCTACGGCAAAAGTTCCAGCATCGTTGCTCGGAGTATCAGCAAAATTTAGTATAAGAGCCTTAATTAAACGGGGACGTTCACGTAACCAGGGAGATACAAGCACAACCAATAAGCTACGTCATTCCTCATTCCTTTCAGAAACAGGTTCAAACATCGATGCTGATCGTTGAAGTATGGCACTCCAGGACCCGGAAACAACAAGATCCAGATTAGAAGGACCCCTGAAGAGGGCACCAACACGCCGTAAACCCCAAACCCCTGAACCCCTAACACTCCTGAACCCCGAAAGCTCAAAACTCGCAACAGGTCCAACCCTAAACCTTAGACTCCTAAATCCCTAAACCCTAAACTGGGGTACTGCCCCCCCAACAGTAACAGTCTATTCTAGTGCTACTAAAAAAGGGCCTTATATATACATATTATGATATTACTCAACTTTTGCTGAGTGGTGGCAGTATCCAACCTTAATCTTAAGCCTCGGGTCCCCCTGAATCTCCTGAACCATCAAACCTCGCCCAGATCTTAACAATGCCAGCAATGCCCTCGTGCCCATTTGCACAGACATGGCCTTGGGCTTCTGGGATTCAACAGAAGCTTCATCCAGCTTGTATAGAAGCCTGAACAGTTACTAATCATATTTATACTATGTCCAAGGGCTGCTTGTCAGATGTATGCAACTGAAACATGCACCGAAGCCTTGTTCGATTTGTGCTATGGCCCCTGTGATATGTCTAATAAAAAAATTACCACTTCAACCTTTGTATTAAGCACCACCCCTCCTAAGGGTATCACAGCCGTTTGGACACTTGTTTGAATTAGACGGGTTTCAGGAGCATGAGCAAGAGCAGGAGTAAGAGCAGGCACAAGGGACGCAGCAGGAGCAAGAGCAGGAGTAAGCGCCAGAGCAGAAGATCACGCGAAAGTCACAGAGATTTCACCCCCTTCCAAATGTTCAACATGCTTATCGCGAGTTTTATATTAGGGAGAGGGAGCCCTTGGCAATATTGCGCATTCAGACCGCTATAGTTCGCGGTTTGAGAACACGAAAAGTTGATGGCTGAGGATTAGATTCTTGCAGCCGAGGTGCGGAAGCTGGGCAGCCTGGGGGACAGGGGTCAGGGATGCTAGGTTTAGGGTTTTTTGGCCTCCTTCATTGTTGAACAGGCCGCTAGGCAAGGCTTGTCTCTGGGGTTTCAGGAGGTGGCTCCTAGGGGCTGAGTATCCTAGCCCAAAGCAGGTTAACCTTTCAAATTATAGTGGGGTTCTACAAACCCCAAAAGGTTAAGCTTGAACTGTTAAAGGTTACCTACTCAGCTACTTAGCCTTAACTGACAGGCTTAGGGGTTTGAGGGTTTCGGCGGTCATTTTCGGACCTCCCAGGCGAGGTTCTTGGTGCTTAGTTTGTTGCAAACGAGATCCATGTTGGGATCTGGTCTTTTGCGTGGTTAAGTTAAAGGAAACTACAGGTGGGGAGTTTAGGGTATATAGGGCTTTGCGTGGTTAAGTTAAAGGAAACTACAGGTGGGGAGTTTAGGGTATATAGGGCTTCTATAAGGCTTCTATAAGGGATAGAGACCTTCTACAAGGCTCCTATAACGGTAACTACCCACCTGAAAATGTCCTAGATTAAGGTTTAAAGCTTTGGGAAGAAAAACCCTCTCGCACTCGAAATCCCCGTCAGACCAGGCTCACGGTACGCAGTTGGAGCAATTATGTCGCAGGCCCAGCATCCCAATGCGACATAATCTAGCAAGCATTACACACCTAGCAAGACCCTATTGTCACACCTCGACAACACCGGGTCACATCGTCACACCCAGCGGCCACAACGCACGGCTCGCGGCACGGTCAATCAAAGGACAGCTATTTTCATGCCCAGACACTGCGCAAAGCGCAAGGAGGTATTGAAAGCACTTCTTGAGGCTTTCAGCGGCAGACTTCTGCCATAAGATCAGCTTCCATGCACCGCGAAGTCAGGTTCTCGAGCGCCAAGCATGTTCGAGTCAACATAAACTAGGACGAACACTGCGTGTTGCTAGACTAAATACCCCCTCCTTGACGCGCGTTCTGACTTCCGGATATGGCAGAAGTGCCAACATGGAATTGGAAAAAGCTAAACTGTAGCACCGGAGGGCCTTTGATGCTGACTACAGGCATCACAAGTACCAAACGAGCACGTCTCGTGCTTGACAAAGTACGGGCCTTAATAATTAGAATAGGATGCTCGGCCCCTTTCTAGTATAACACTGATAAAGAACCCAAAGCAATATAATTGGTAATTCATTATTTAGGCTTCTATATAAAGCTCGACCTTTAAGCTTCCCTAGTCAATGTCAGGGGCCTGCTTAGGGTTTAGGGATGGTGAGTATGCATGGCCGACCATGCCCCAAACATCCCCAAAGCCTATTCAAGTTATATTACGGCAATTATTAAGGCCCACATGGTAAAGGCCTTGCTTCGCAAGGCATCTTTAATTTCCAAGACCTGCTGACTTGCAAAACACACTCTGCACGAACCACGCTCCTCGGGTTGAGGGGCAGGTATGGTTTGGGTGGTTCTCTAAACTCAATGAGCCCTTGTTTCGATCACCATTATAGTACCGCACCCTTACAAAGAGGACCCTAAACGAGACCCTAATTTAGCAAGCTCGACAGCAACCCCCGCCACCCCCTTAGTGCTACAGGCCCAGATATTAGGATCCGGTTCCCGCATGTAATGTGGGGGCCTCAACAATGAGACTAGGGTTTTTGGGGTATATGATACAATAATCATAGCAAGGAACCCTCACAACAGCCTTGATAATTATTGAGGCCCCTATCTTAATCCTTAACATGGGAGAGGATTTACAAATCAGAGGTCCACACAAGTTCGCAGCACACTGAATTTGTCCAGTCTTTCAGGACTGTCGCCCAGATCATCTAGGCGTCGGGTAATTTTTGCGACGTCTTCCCGTTGGAAAGTACTTGATTAGGAGCCTTATAATAATCTGAAAGGGGGTTGGGTGTATTTTAGTGTAGTCCTGCATGCAGGGATGCAAGAATTTCTTTACGACTTATTCCGACCGCTATATTACCCCTCTCTGGAGAGTCGGAGAGGGAAAGCAACCGGAAGATGGAAACCAAATGGAGTTGTCAACCATCCGGCGAGTATCACAAAGTTGGAGGACCGTTTGGTTTAGGTCTCCGGAAAATAAGGCCAGTGGTGCCCATATTTTGAGCAACTCCAGCTTAAATGGAATCACGGTCTTGATGTTGGTCTAGCCTTGCTCATGGGGCATCCATGGGCCTGTGCTGTTTAGATGGTTTAACCTGAAGCCAAGGATCTTTTCACATCTTCTTACGCCAGGATGCCCATGCATGCACCCACAATCTCCTGATGGGCCGTTTATGCACTGGCCTTATAGGAACCACTTGAAAGCCGACTTACATCAGCATCTGCGACAGAGCCAACTCATCCTGGCTGCCGGCACATCGGCCGGGCCGAGAGGCGGAAGAGGCGGACCTTTTTCTCCAAGTCTCTGGAGGACGCAGACACGGACTTCAGAAAACCCTCCATGCGGCTGTTGTGTTGGTCATGCTGAAGTCGATTTGGCGGGCGACTGTGGTCTGCGTCATTTGCCCATGACCGTGAGAAGAAGGAGTGGCGTGAATCGGTGCCAGCATCTCCGTCGTCACAATCCACTATTTCCTCGAACATCGGTGGCATGCAAGTGCTTGAACGAGAATCCAAAGGCGACTGCTTACCTTCCGTGGCGATGAGGTTTGCCTCTGGATTGCAAGGCTCTTCGTCCAAAGCATGCTCCTCGGGCTGGACGGCCAAAACGCTGTGAAGTATGTCCATTCCAAGACTCTCCGGCTTGCAAGGCTCCGGCAGCTTTGCAAGGGCCTCAAAACCTGGAGAAGCTCTAGTCATGGTGGAAAAATCGAGGGGCCCAGGTCCCAGGTCCTTCGACACCTCATCTCCAAGCCAAAGGCTTACCACGCCAATATGGGGTTTAGGGTTTAGGGGACACAGAATTTGCATCAAAACAAAGCCCCGCGAAACTAGGTATGCTCGAAGCGGAGAGTTCTCTGCACAAGGCTTATCGAATTCCGGAGAAAGCGTCTCGAGCTTGCATATCGATGATCTTGTCTTGGTGCACTGTGAACTCGACATCCGACATGCCTCACCCTTGAAGGCCCTTAACCCCCCCCCCAAAAAAAAAAATCGAGTCCCTTCGAGACCCGTGCCTGTAGAGAAATCTCGAGTCGAGTAGAGCGGAATCGTTTTGGGATGCCAATGTACTACATCTGTACCTATGTAAACACACGTGAGGAGTCCTAAACCCTAAACCCAAACCAAACGAGAGGAGAAGACCCTATGCCACATGCACCTCCTGGTCCACAGCTCGTAGCATCTGCTGTGTAGACCTCAGTGCGACATTCCGACATGGGAGCTTGCAGCATTGTTTTGGGGATGTTCTAGTTTGGTATATGAGAGATATACATATATTGATAGATAGATAGATAGATAGATAGATAGATAGATATATATATAAAGAGAGAGAGAGAGAGACAAACACACACACACACATACTCCTGGTTATCTGGGGGCTTTCGTTTAGAATAGAACATCCAGCGGCGCCTGGCATGTATGACCCAACTTCCATCAACATGTAGAACAAAGGCGTGGGGCATCGAAGCAACAAATATAGGGACAACAGGTCACTCATAAACAAGTCTATACCTATAGCCTCCATGTAGTTCCTTTTTTGGTTTTACCAACTTCATATTAAGGATCCTAAAATGTAACCCCAAAAAGGAACTACAATGTAACTACAATGGAGACTATAGGTAGATCACTCCTGGTCCTCTGCAGCTCACACAAGCCTTTCCAGGCAGATGATGGAAGCGGCGCCCCAGGTTCCCATTGACACGTTGCACATGGACTCAGAGTTCATGGTTTTGGGTATTGGGTTTAGGGTTTAGGGTTTGGGGATTTAGGGTGTTCATGGTTTTAGCTTTGGGTTTAGGGTTTGGGGTCTGGGGTTTAGGGTTTAGGGTTAAAGTTTTGGGGTTTGGGGTTTAGGGTTTACCCATAGGCTCCAAAGTAGTTCCTTTTTGTGGTTCACATTTAGGATGCTAAAAGGCAATCCCAAAAAGGAACTACTGAG